CAGGAGCCATGTGAGTTTGAGGCCAGCCTGGGCTACATAGTAAGACCTAAATCTTTGGTGGAAGGGAGAAAGTAAAGAAAGAAGGAAGGGAGGAAGGGAGGAAGGGAGGGGAGAGAGGAAAGAAGGAGGGAGGAGAGGGAAGAAGAAAGGAAGAATAGGGGAAGAAAGGAAGAGGAAGGAAGGAAACAGTTTCTAACAGAGAGGACTATGTGGATGATCCCTTTAAGACGGTTTTAAATGTGGAGGGGGAAAAAAGTCAGAAATTAGGGAAGAGACCTGGTACTGGGATTACAGGGTCATCCTCTGATTTTTTTTTGAAAGAATTCCCCACATTTTCTACATTGGATATTTATGGTTGAATCATTATTTCTTTTTTAAAAAAATATTTATTTATTATGTATACAATGTTCTGTGTGTATGCCTGCAGGCCAGAAGAGGGCACCATACCCCATTATAGATGATTGTGAGCCACCATATGGTTGCTGGGAATTGAACTCAGGACCTTTGGAAGAGCAGGCAATGCTCTTAACCTCTGAGCCATCTCTTCAGCCTGAATCATTATTTCTTAACCATTATTTTCTTAAGGAAAACTCCTTTGCCCTATGGGAATGATGGCGATGCATGACTCAGCCATTCATGGGGATGCTGCTGAGAGCAGGGGGCATTTCCAAAGAATGCGGCTGGAGAGGGCAGGCTGCCTGCCAAGGTCCTAGGAGGCTGTCGATTTCCCTTCATGAAAAGATCTGTTACCCTAAAGAGACGCAAGGAGAAAGGGAAGTTTGGGAAGAGGCATGGAGATTTAACTGGGTCCACAACGCTGGGCGTGATATTACAAGCCTGTAATCCCAATTCTGTGGATGCTGAGGCAGAGTTTAAGGTCAGCCTGGACTACATACAGGGACCCTATCAAGCAAAAAATAAAACTCCATCAACGGTAGCAACCATGCTGTCCACGACTGAGGCTGGCACAGGCTTGGCCCTGTGCTTAGAGTCCACCTCTGGAGTGGCTGTCAGGGGGCTATGGGTACAAATAAGTGTCTGCGGAAACCAGACACGAATCTGAAGGCGGCATTCCCCGTTCCTGTGCCTGGAGTTTTGAGTTTCCCAGCTCTGGCTGCTGTCACCAGCCTGCCTAACCCTTGGTGACAGTGGTGAGGGGGAAACAGGAATCCCCTTTTAGCTGGCAATTCTTTGCAGGGTAGGTCAGTTCAGTAAGGAGGGCCTTCCACCCCAAATACAAGCTTGATACATTGGGAGAACTCCCCTGTGATCTGGACCCCTGACCCAACCTGATGGGGCCAAGGCAGGTTCTTCCTGGCCACCCAGGTGACTCTGGAGTTGATGTTCCCACCTAATACTTGCTTCTAGAACACAGTAGGGCTATTTGTTCCTGCAAGATGGGAAGAAATAGGCTGGGCTTGTGGTTTGGTAATGATGGATATGGGCGCCATTGTTCTGATACTGGCTTGTTGACTTCTCACTATAGACGGTAGTAAGGCCTGGACCACCTTGCTCATCACTGAGGTCAGTGTGATGGGCACAGATGTACCACAAACCTGGGTTGCCTGTGGGCTAGTGGCCTAGAAGTATCTGAGACCACTTGAGGCTCTGGGGAAGAGAATGGTTCTTTCTGTCTCTCTCTGTCTCTCTGTCTCTCTCTGTCTCTCTGTCTCTCTCTCTCTCTCTCTCTCTCTCCCAGCTGGGGATTGCTTGAGGCAGGATCTCACTATGTAGCCCTGTCTCTCCTGGAATTCACCACATAGACCAGGCTGGCCTTGAACTCAGAGATCTGCCTGCCTCTACCTCCTACATTTTGAGATTAAAGGCATGCAATGTCTTTTTTTTTATGTTTTAGAGATTTATTTTTACCTCTGTGTATGTGTGTTGGGCAGGGGTTGGGTGTGTGCATGTGTATGCAGTGCCCTCAGAGGTCAGAGGAGAGTGTTGGGTCCCCTGAAGCTGGAGTTATGAGTACTGGGTGCTGAGAACCAAACTCTGGTCCTCTGCTATAATATTGGCTCTGAAGTGCTGAGCCGACTCTCTAGTGCTTGTCCGCCTGAGTTGGGTGTGGCTCATTTCGTCCTATGTCTGACCTCGGGAGAGGAGATACCCAGCCTGACTGAGGCCTGTGGAGGCTCAGAGGTCATGTGACACACGCCCCAGCGTGCCTCTGCCCTGACTCTATGGGACTACTTCCCCGGGCTCACTGGGTGAGAGTCCACTGCAGGGCTGACACCGTTTGTCACATGTCAGCAGCTCCCGAGGGCCCAGGAGAAGGGGATGTAGTGTGAGAGCCGCTGCTTCCAGGTGGCCTCTCGGTCCCGTGATCCCTGTGAGAGCATTTCCCCAGCTTTTGGCTTCACACCTGGGCTGGATGGGATGGAACAGACCTTGTGGGCTCCCAGCACTGTGGTCAGTGTCTGTTCTCCTTTGTCCCCGCTTAAGTGGACAGAATCACCACAATGGCTCTCCACCTTGGACCCCATGGCATGGGTATCTGACGTGTGTGTGTGTGTGTGTGTGTGTGTGTGTGTGTGATAGAGAGAGAGAGAGAGAGAGAGAGAGAGAGAGAGAGAGAGAATAAATGTGTGAGGTCAGAGGATCCCTTTATGAAGTCAGTTCTCTCTTTCTACCTTTCCATGGGTTCTGGGGATTGAACTCAGGTGGTCAAGTTTTCGTGGCAAACACCTTTACCTGCTGAGCCCCGTCCCTGATCCCTCCAGTGTATTTTCCCACTTCTGCTCTTCCTTAGTTCCAGTCAATACACATCTGTTAAATAGCAGCCTCCCAGCTGGGCAGTGGTGGCGCACGCCTTTAATCCTAGCACTCGGGAGGCAGAGGCAGGCGGATCTTTGAGTTGGAAACTAGCCTGGTCTACAGTACAAGTTCCAGGACAGCTCAGCCAGGGCTGCATAGATGGACCCTGCCTCAAAACAAAAACCAGAATAAAAAATGAAACAAGAGGGCTGAGAGATGGCTCAGAGGTTAAGAGCACTGACTGCTCTTCCAGAGGTCCTGAGTTCAATTCCCAGCAACCACATGGTGGCTCATAATCATCTGTAATGAGATCTGGTACCCTCCTCTGGCGTGCGGGTATACATGGAGGCAGAATGTTGTATACATAATCAATAAATAAATCTTAAAAAAAATGAAACAAGAAGTGTAGCAGCCTCCCTCCCCCATCACATTATAAACAGAGTCCCCAGCTCCATGGTAAAATAGTCTGACAGAAAGCAGCCTGGGTGTGGGGGGAGGTTCCTTAGGTGAGAGTTCTCCGATGTGACCACCGCAGTCAGGAGCAGAGAGAAATGAATACACACCTGCTTGCTTGCTTGTGCTTCGTTTCACTTCTCCATTATTACACAGCTCAGGACCCCTGCCTACGGAATGGCCACCCACACCGGGCTGGGTCTTGCATCAATCCATTTATAAGATCATCAGGCCAACTCAACGTAGACAATATTCACTGAGACTCACTTCCTAGGCGATCCTAGGCTGTGCCACATTGACAAAGCTCACTATCACAGACTGCAAGCCTGACTCTGGGGTGGGGAGTTGGAGTCTTGGTCCTGCCTATAGATAGCCATGCCGAGGCTAGTGTGAGAATGCCAGGCATAAAGCCTCAGATTTCAGTCATCTGCTAGTGGGTCCTGGGAGGCTCCCTGCTAGTATGTGCTGAAGATCCCATGGGGTGGTCTTTGACCACCCATAACCAGTAGCTCTGGGGCTCCTAGAGGACATCCCCAAGGACAGCCTAGATGGCCTGTCTCAGAGAAGAACCCAGGATCAATGTGGCCCCAAAGTGGTTGTAGCTGCTGCCCCTTGCCCTCTGGTCCCCAGGATTGAGGGCGCTTGGTTCACACAGAGGTTTCTGTATCTGACTCCCTTTCCTGGCAGCACAGAAAGTATTTGTTAAGTGACTAAACAGTCTCGCGTGGCCACCAGTGAACGGTCTATACCAGCTTAACATATTTATTTGTCGGGTTATGTGTCTTTGCCCTTGGCTAGTATGTATCGAATGCCTGCTCTCTGCCAGGCCCTGTTTTGGGGTCCAGATCATGGATTTCAGATACAGCAAGAGGGACAGGACAAAACCCCGATTTAACATCCACCTGGGGGTAACAGGTGCCATCGGAAGTTGAGGCAGCCTCCTGAGGTCCCTATTAGAGCAATGTATTTTTTTGGGGGGGGGGATGTTCTAGAAGAGGAATAAAAAGAGCATTAGGTTGATTAGGTTGGGAAACCCTTAGCTGGGTTTCCAGTCTGTAGCACCATCATTTTTCCTGCTTGCTACTCAGTTTTTCCATCAGGAAGATGGGAACAGGCTCGTAGGTGACCGTGATAAGAATGTTCTGGAAGCACTCAGAATACTGTCTGGGACTAGAGATGTGGCTCAGTTGGTAGAGTACTTGTCAAGCATGTCACCTAGTCCTGGGTTCAATCCCCAGCCCTGCACGAATGGGTGTGATGGTGTACCCTGCAACCCTAGGGAGGACTCAGGAGGTAGAGGCAGGAGGGTCAGAGTTGGGGGTCATCTTTGATTACATAGTTATAGGAGTTACAAGCATGCACTGCTACATGTGATTTATGCTGTGCCGTGCTTCAAACCCAGAACCTTGTAGACAGGCATTCTTATTTGAGGCTTTTTCTTTTTTTCCTTTCTTGTGTGTTTATTTGGTTTTGGCTTGAGACAGCTTCTCACTATATATAGCCCAGATTGGCTTGGAGCCTTCAATTCCCCTGCCTCAGTGTCAGTTTTAGGACTCCCCCCCCCCCCCCCCCCCCCACACACCCTTTGTCTTTTACTCTGGTGTCAGGCTGGCCTGGGCTGTGCCGCCTTCTCCTCAGGCTCTGAGAAGAGCTCCGAAGCACACAGTGGCTGGGAGTGTCAGTGGCCCACGTGCTCCGGAGCAGACAAGACCTCAGAAGTCTGAGCGCCACTGGGGAGGGTGTGGCACCGTTTCTTACCGCCCTCCTCTCACACCTTCCTCCGGATCCAGCTTCAGTCCCTGCCTCGCGTGCTGACGTCACACCAGGACCGGTTTGATCCCCGTGGCCCCGCACAACAAGCTGCTTTGGGGCAGCTCCGGAGAGCTCCCGGTTGCGAGGTAGGGCACGCGCGGAGAGCAGCCCCAGGCGCGGGGACCTGGTGGGGGCCCTGATGTCCGGGGTGGGTGCTGGTGGTGCTGCAGGGTCGGGGTTTCAACCAGCGCAAGTCAGGGGGGCGTCCAGGTGGTGGTGGCGTGTTCCTGTACCGGGGACCGTGGGATGCACAGGGTGAACTTGGATAGAGGTTTCGGTGAGCTCCAAGGGACTGGGATTTAATACATGTCACGCGCGCTGATGGTCAGGTTCCAGAGAGGAGCAGGGTCTCCAAGGAGCAGGGTGCCAACTCCCCGCCAGCAACTCCCCAGGCCAAACAGCCATGACATGTTCAGATGGGGGGCGATCAGGCTATGGGAAAGCTCTCAAAGGAAGGCATTTCGCATCAAGGACAGGCTGACTGTTGTGGGATGTCCCCAGAGAGGTGAAGTCTCTTGCTGCTCGGGGTGTCTGCTTGGGAGAGTCCTCCCCAGCCATCTAAGCCCTGTTTCCCCTCTCCAAAGGGGAAATGCACGTGCCGTGCATTTCCTTTTCCCTGGGGCGGCTTGAAGTAAAGGAAGGGCTGCAGCTGCTGGGCGTTTTTTGTAGTCTGGGAAAAACAAGGAACAGACTGTGCTTCTTGTCCGAAGGGCAGGCATCTGCTGGATGTGGTGAGGCAAGCCTGTAATTCTAGCTAATGGGAGGCTGAGGCAGGAGGATTGTTGCGAATTCGAGGCTAGCCCGAGCTACATGATAAATCTCCGTCTCAAAATAAAACTGTAAGTAAGAGAGGTGAATAAGTGTGCTGGAGTTGGGTGACCTGATCTTGGTCACCTCAAGCTGCCTCTCTGGGGACATGCATGCTGTCCCAGACGTTGAGCAATACAGGACAGAGGGGGAGGCACCTCATAAGTGAATCTAGGTATAGCAGCAGGGGAGAGAAGCCATTTCTTCAAAGAGGGTGGTACCTGTCCCCTCATCACCAGATAGCCTTTCTCAAGGACAGTGGTTCTCAACCTTCCTCATGCTGTGGTGACCCCAGCCATAACATTACTTTGCTGCTACATTGTAATTTTACTACTGTTATGGATAGTAATGCAAATATCTGATATGTGATGGGGGGGAGGGGTTTGCAACCCACAGGTTGAGAACTACCAGTCTAGAACCTCATTACCGTGCAGGGGGTCCATGACTTGGATACCAGAGGCCCTCCTGCCTCTCCCTGGGACCCATGACCAATCATGAGTTTCCCTATCTGAAAGGCAGTACCTCTAGCTCTTTGAGATCTCAAGGCTTGTGGGACATGGACAGTCACTCTCATGATAATTAGCAGGGGATAGCGACAGACCATGACAGACACAGAGGACAGCTCCGGGCCATCTTGGACGTGCTATTCTGAGGAGGATTTGGCATGGCTGACAGGATGGGTGAGAGGGGTGGGGTGGCCCCTCAGCTTTTTCTGTGGCTGTTTCGGCTGCTAGGACCACTTCCTCCTGTCTCTTCAGTCTCTACGTGAAGAGTGTGTGGTCTTGTGAAGACTTGACATACAAGACGGAAAACCTGAGATAGTGGCCAAGAGTGGGGATATGGGCACCTTCTAAGAACCCCAGAAGTTAAATATGGCCACAAGGGCTGTTTGAGAGGAAATGCTGTCTGTGTAGACATCCGGGCTACCAGACCCCAGAGAAAGACATGAGAAGGTACAGTGAGACTTGCTTACTCTGGAGCCCAACTCAGACCCGGTCAAACTAGCCTCCGGTCCCCGCTGGAAGGTGGTTCCTCAACACCACCACCCTCTTTTCCCATCACGCTCTGATGCCATTTGTGTTCCTACTTGTTGGCCTTGTTTTTCTTTTTGTTTTTGTGAGATAGGGTTTTGCTATATAGCCCAGGCTGGCCTCGTACTCATGGTGATCCTCCTGCCTCAGCCACCCAAGTATTGGGTTTGCAGGCATGACATTTAGCATCCAACCAGTGTTGTCTAGAGTTGGCGTGTGTTCAGGAGGCACTCCACATGGAGCAGACGCCAGGGTGATGTTCTGGTTTGCCTTCCTCCCGTCAAGGCGTACTGAGCATGCATGTGGGTACATGAGCAACCCTCCTGAGGAGGGTGCAGGGGCCAGTCCTTAAACAGCTGAGACCAGGATGAACTAACAGAGGCAGAGGATCTTAATCCAGGTGTGCCTGGGCCACATAGTGAAATCCTGTCTCACTGATGACAAACACTTCTCATTTCCCGTGGCTTTGCCTGAGTGGGAGTGTTTGGCAGCAGCGAAGACCCTGACTGGTATGTGTGGCATAAGTGGGGAGTTGCATGCTCACAGGAAAGACCCTATGGGTAGGAAAGGGTTCATGAATAAAGTTTAGAGGGAACTAAATCATAGTCAATATTCAAGCAAGCTGTGCAACCCCAGACAATTGGCTTTGCCTCTCTGAGCCTCAGTTTATTTGGCAATAAGATAGGTGAATATTGATAACCACACTTTAAGCTTTTCACACAGGTCAAATGAAATGTTCTATTAAAAATGGTCTTGGGCAGAGAAGATAGCTCATTGGGCATTAGACCTCCAGAAGAATACATCTGTAACCGGAGTACTGTTGTGGGGAGTGGGGACAGGAGGATCCTCAGAGCTCACTGGACAGCTAGTCTAGCCTTAGGTTAAGGGGGAGACCCTGCCCCAAAAAATAACATGGAACATGATTGAGGAGGACACCTGATACTGACTTCTGGCTTCCATGTGTATACACACACACACACACACATACACACACATACACACACATAACTCACACAAAGTGATCCGAAGGGATTTTCTTTTTCTTTTTTTCTTATTTTTTTTCTTTTTTTCTGAGACAGAAGTTTCTCTGTGTAGCCCTGGCTGTCCTGAAACTCACTCTGTAGACCAAGCTGGCCTGGAACTCAGAGATCCACCTGCCTCTGCCTCCTGAGTGCTGGAATTAAAGGTGTGCATTACCATCTAGTTCCTGAGAGATTTTCAAAATGTGAGATGAGGTAGACAAGATGTTGATCAGAGTGGTTCAGGTTGTCTGTTATACCATGGCCTTCCTTCTTTTCTCCTCTTGAGGAAGCTGTGAGGTAGGCTCTCAAGGGCTACTCCAGATTAAATAACATATAGACCATTTCAAATTATAGAAAGGGTAACTCTGAGATTAGGAGTGTGGCTCAGTGGTAGAGCCCCTGCCTAGAATCCCCCAGTGAGGGG